ATTACCAGACCAAGAAATTTAAAGTGAGAAACCTCAGTGATTTCATTATTGTTACAAACAAGTAAGGTCTCAGTTACTACAGAATTTTTTGTTGTAAATTGCATACAATGTGTCTTTAAAAAATTAATAGATAATAAATTTGATTTGAACCAATCATAAACTATTTGAAGAGTTGCACTTACTTTAGTATCTAGAATATCAAGTTTTTTATCCGTAACTATTAAACTAGTATCGCTGGCAAAAAGAATGGGTGTAGCTGATCCATCACTGGCCAAGGGGAGATCATTGATTTACAGTAAAAACAACAAAGGTCCCAGTACAGAGCCCTGAGGAACAGCATGTCGGATTTCAGACCAATTTGATACCAAATTATAGCAAGTTAAATTATCTTTCAAAAACATGCTGATATCTCTTAAGTATTGGGAATATAAGTTCTTGGAAACTCCCATAATTCCATATATTTCCAATTTGTGTAAAAGAATATTGTAATTGACACAGTCAAAAGCTTCAGTATCACAAAAATTCCCTTAGCTTAGCTTTATTATTTAAAGCAGTAAGAATTTTATTTAAAAGGGAATAAACAGCATTGTCTATTGATACATTTTTTTGAAAACCATATTGATTAGGATTTAGAATAGCATATTTTTAAGATGATTCATGAGTCTATTAAACATTACTTTTTCCACAATTTTGGAGAAGGATGTTAACAAAGAAATAGGTCCATAATTTGATTTTCATTTCATGCATCCTGTTGTGTTACAATATACAACTTCTTTATTAACCGGCACAACACAACAAATATAAAGATCAGTGCCTAGCTGCGGCTGTGCTACATGTTTCGGCTATCAATAACCATCATCAGGCAAATACACGGTTAACATATATACACCACTGAACTGCAGTACTATTAAACTGGATACATACTATTAATCATATAAAACATTTGACATAAAAAATACAATAAATCAGATTATATAAAACAGAAATTATAGTATAAAACAAGAATAAAATTTTAAATTGATGCTTTATATCATCAAATCAGTCGTTGGTTTTGTAATTTCGTTGCATTCCCACGGAAAAATTGGAATATTCTATATTTTTGCTTTTTGTATATAAGATTGTATAGGAGGCTCGTGATGTAGATGTAGTATATTAATGTTAATTGTTTAGTTGGTGCCTCATCTTACAAAGTATTGTCCGTACTGTAGGGAATGTAAACAACATTTACTAGTTGACTAGTAAAGAAAACATCACATGCTGTGGAGGAAGCTCACACAAACCAGGAGCATATGGCAGTCAAAAACTGAAAGTAGACCACGAACGTGAGGGGCAAGCTGCCGAGAAAAACACCTTGATACATCTATGAAAATGACGACACCCTGGGTGAGGTGAAATAATATGCAACAGAATTTTAAAGAGTTTTATCTCATTTTACTTAAGAAGACTACAGTGTGTGATTTTAACACAAATTAAACCAGTGTAGCAGTTTTTAACACAGTTTTAGTAAAATATCTGTAATATATAAACACCTGAAGATGGCTGTTTGAGGCCGAAACATGTAGTGTTGAAGTGTAGAATGTAAAAGTGTTGCAATTTTGATGGAAGATAAACAATGGATGCTAATTATAAATAAATTGTCATTCTTTTCATCATTAAGTATAAATCCTTTTTGTGTTTGAAAGAGTTTCTTATACCAAGTGTAATCCAATTTGGTATACTAGTTCTCCTTGATGACATATGCTTATTTACTATAGGAAAACTTGAGTTAAAATTCTCAATATGTGTTTAAAAAAGAATTAAATACGAGATTCACATTATTCTCGCCAAAAATATCATCCCAATTCTCATAACTTGGTTCCAGATTTTAAATGTTAAGAACACTAATAATATATTTTTAACTTAAACACCTTTTTAACAATAATAATTAAAAATGTTTATACAAGAGCTGAAGCACATGCACTATGATCTGTGTAGTAGTGTTTCCTTAGCAATTTGTTATTGCCTTCTGAAGATGTCACCACTGACTGAAACATATAAAGGCACTATATAAATATATATTGAGTCACACTGGACGGTGCTGTGGATTCATTTTATAATGATATTCTTTGTAATTGGAACCTCTTTTTCAGTGTTCTTTCTTTTTTTTTTTATTTCCCCATGTCAGTTGTTGGTTATTTGTATTTAATCAGAGTGTATCCTTTATAATAACTGGAATCTGATAAATGTCACAAATGTAAAAATAATTTTGCCCACATAAAAAACAGCTTTTTGTGACAGATGTATAAATTCTATTTCTGAAAGGAGTACTTGTTGCATTGCTTCAAGATACTGTTATGAGATGATGTTTTAATGCAAACTGAACTTCCAGTAAATAGTGTGATATTCTGAGATTATTACATGCTCGCCTGCCAGCATTCTTCCTTCAGATAGGTGGTACTAAGGATGGCCCACTCACTGTATGCGTGTGATCTTGTTATATGTAATCACCATGTGAAATGTTCTAAGTTGAAAGCTTCAAAGTGGAAATTGTAGGAAGGGACTGTAGAAGTTATTCAGTCAGTTTTATTTTAAAAGATACCCCTTTCATGTATTGTGTTTGTTAAATTGTACAAGGAATGAATTGTATAAGGTTATAAAATAAGGTGCATTAATATAATCAATCCAGGAATTAAGAAAGCCTTACAAATTATCAACCCTGCCCCCATAACTAATAGTGGCAAAATCTCAAAGAGATTTTTGCTATAGGATGCTATGTAATTCGGTCAACATTCATAGAAATGTTAACCCTATTAGAGTTTACTTAGTCTAGTGCAAATATATGTTCAGATAAAGTATACCTGGAATACACAAATTTACAGAGTTAATTACTGAATAAGCTTGTTTTAATACCACTGAATATATTTTTGTTGTTATTATTGCAAACTTGGCATTTCATGAAATATTTGATGTACATACATAATTTTGTTGCATCATGGTGAACTCAGTTGAGAAGTGTCCAACTAAATAACAGGAATGTACAGAAATATGAATTGATGGCTCAGGATCCTCATTGAAAGAGGCCCCTTTTTCAGGCTTAGCTATTTCCATGATTACCTATTTGACTTACTTACTTACTTATTTACTTACTTACTCATGGAGCTGGGCCCTTCTGGAGGAGCCGCCAATTCTGCAGCTACTCAAGAATTTCCCAGCATTTTATGCAACCCAAAGGTTCATTACCGTGTTCACAAGAGCCCTCCACTGGTCCCTATCCTGAGCCAGATCTATCGAATCCATACCATCCCATCCTATCTCTCTAAGATCCATTCTAATATTGTCCACCCACCTACGCCTTGGTCTTCCCTGTGGTCTCTTTCCTCTGGCTTTCCCACCAATATCCTATACACATTCCTCATCTCCCCCATTCGTGCTACATGACCTGCCCACCTCATCCTCCTTTACTTGATCATTCTAATTATACTTGGAGAAGAGTACAAGGTATGAAGCTCCTCATTATGCAGTTTTCTCCAACCTCCTGTCACTTCCTCTCTCTTCGATCCAAACATTCTCCTAAACACCCTCAGTCTACATTCCTCCCTTAATGTCAGAGACCAAGTTTCACACCCATACAGAACCACAGGCAGAATTATAGTTTTGTATATTCTAATAATTATGTTTTTGGACAACAGATGAGAAGACAAAAGGCTTTGGACTGAATGATAGCAAGCATTACCCGAGTTCAGTGATTTATAAATGTTCTCTGTATCTGCATATCATTTTCTTGTACTGCAAATGTAGTCCCCACTAGGTCTGATGAAACCAGAGGAAACAAGACTTGCAGATCAAATGATAGTACTGAAAACAGCAGCCTAAGAAATTCTGATGGGAAGATGTTAAAAAGTGGGTAATCAGGAAGTGATTGTGGTAATGAGAAGTACATAAACTGTTTCAGGATAGGGCGCAGATAACCTTATAGTTTAAGCTGGAATGTCTAACTTTGATGATTAAATGATGCCTATGATACATGGCCTGTTAAGGCACTACTGTTCATGGAACTGAATATCGGAGACATGTTTGGTTTTATTCCTTTTTTTACGTGTAAACATTCTTGCAATCATCTTGCTACAGAGTACACTTGAGTCAGGATCTCTCAGTTGGTGACAGGCTTATGGTCCATACAACTTAGAAATTGGGAATAGTCATGTGAAGAGGCAAGAAGATTTTCTTTTCTTTGGCATACAGTTCACCTATGAGGTCACCCAGCCTACTGCCAAACGCATACCACTACCCTCTCCGTGGTGGTAAAGTAGCAGGGGAGTGAAACTGACTACTCACATCCAGTTATTCCGTGGCTAAGAATTCGTTACACAGTCACTCCCTGCATGTCTTTATAGAACGGTAACTAATAGAACACATGGACAAAGTTACCTTTATCTTTACCACAAACTACAATGCAATATAAAGATGCCATCATGGAGTACTTGTATCCATGGGACGTGGTGTTAACTTATCTAATATTATTCATAATTTTTGTGGGCCCCCTCATCCAAAATTTTGTAGTGCTTGTAGCTGTCCACATTGTGGTCTTCATGATTATACCATGGTTTAATTTACTTTAGCGTTTTACATAACGACGCCGTATGTGCCACTGTGTTGTGGTCTAATATGTTTCATATGAACATACTGCTTTCATCTTCAGGGCGTAATACAACCATCACTTCCATGAACACCTTAGATCCCATATGTTTGTTGATCAGTGATCATAATTGTGACAATACGAGAAAGCATACACATTCTGTGAACATTTGTATCAGCTGTTATAATGAATCAGTGATTTTGTTCTACTCGTTAATTTTTTATATAAAACCTGGCCTGCAGTTAGTAGTAAATGTCTACGGAAATTTTAAAGAAAAGTTGCTGGGTGGTACACCATGACCACGGATCAATCACGGCCACCGTGATTTCAGTTTGGTGTGTGGGCAGAACGAAACACCTGCGGGAACTGTCCACACTGTTTACTCGCCGTTGCTAAGCAATGATGGCAGGTTTCTCATTCTTCTGCTCACTGTAACCGATGACATCGTCGTTGTTTGACAATTGGTGCAATGGCGTCTGATGTGTTGATATCGTATCTCCCAAATGAGGTTTTAGAATATATTCTTGAAAGTGATATAATGTCAGCCGCAGATGTGTGCAATTTTGGCTCAACGTGTACAAAATTTAGAAATTTAGTAAGCAGCAGTAACAAACTATGGAAAACGAAGTTTCTTCAGCGGTACGTTTGCAAACCAATTATTTTCTGGTTTATGGAATTACCTTACTTTCAATGCCTGTTTTAAATAGAGTTTTAAGTGGTTTCTTTTTTTGCTTATTCGATTAGTTGTAATTTAAGTCGTAGTAAAGTAAATAAAGGAAAATTTCCTGACGTTAGGTGGTGGGTGCGTAGATTGTTTCGGCTATTGGTAGTCCTAGGTCTTACTTTAATGATTGATTGATTTCGTCGCTGTAGATCATTGTACATGATATAGGACAAGTCAAGTTAATTCTGAATATTAACAGTTTAATATATGAGTAAGATTAAAATTACAATAGTTACAATTGTTTACAGTTGATTACAATTTAGAATTAGTTAGATATTCTTATTTGTGGAGAATTTGATGGAATGTCGAATAAAGTAACGCAAGAGTTCACGTGCTTTATCTCTTAACACACTAATTGTACTATGTGGCACTAATTGACCTCACAAAATGTATCAACTGGTCCATAACAAAATTCACTACTATTCACCGACGATCTCTGTTTCTCACCTTTTCGTCATATCAACAGTACAGCAATTTGTGTATTTATTTATTTATTTGTATTTTTTTTTGTTTTACTTACAGGGACCTTAAAATTTAAAAGTCGATCAGTGAAACTTCATATATTCATGTGATATTTTTCTTTGGGTAAAAATAAATAATATGAATAATAAACAATTTGTTGCAGGAATATTTTGCGACTTACACAAAGCCTTTGATCGTGTCAATCATGATATACTTATCAAAACATTAGAGTTTTATGGAATAACTGGCAAGTTTGGTGCCTTAGTTAAATCTTACCTGAATGGAAGATATCAGAGAGTAGCCCTTGGCCCTAACGGTTCTATTAATAGCTTTTCTAGTTCGGCAGAAGTAAAATTTGGTGTACTGCAAGGTTCAGTTCTTGGCCCACTTATTTTCCTCTTGTATATAAATGATATAACTAAAGTTTCAATTAATGGAACAAACATATTCTTATATGCAGACGATACAAGTATAATAGTGACTACTTCGGAATACGCTGACTACAAATCAACCATGACCAGAATATTTTGCAATATTAATACATGGTTCAGAACCAATTTGTTAAAATTAAATATTCATAAAACCCACACTCTCCAGTTCACTTTAATGAACTATGAGGATCATAATATGCATAATAATATTAATCAAAATTTACCGACTAACTTAGAGTGTATCAATTTTTAGGCCTAAATATTGATAATAGGCTTAATAGGCTGTGTTGGAAGAATCATATTGATTACCTTGTTACTAAATTGAGTTTGTCTTGCTTTATTATGAGAACAGTTAAGCCTATGATATCATTAAGTAGCTTAAGAATGATTTATTTTGCTTATATACATTCTGTGATGACATATGGAATTATCTTCTGGGGCAATTCTTTTTACATGACAAAACTTTTTATGATCCAAAAGAACGTTATAAGGATAATGATGGGATTAAAGAAAAGAGATTCATGTAGAGACTCTTTCAAGGAAATGAAAATTCTGCCTTTGTGTTCTCAATACATAATATTCCTTGATGCAACATACTGTAAATAACATACATCTGTTTACAAGAAATATGGAGGTACGTAATATTGGTACCAGACAGAATGTTAACCTATTTCCACCGAGTACTTCACTTACTAAAGTTCAGAAGGGTGCATATTATTCGGGTGTAAAATCTACAATCATCTGCCTAAAGAGCTCAAACAATTATCTAATAACCAGAAATCATTTGAATGTTCCCTAAACAGATTTATTACATGCTAACTCTATTTATGCATTAAATGAGTATTTTAATTACAAGTGTACATAAATTTGAATGTTTTAACACCGTATTTTAATATACATACATACATACATACGAGGGGGTACCCAAAAGAAACCGAACTTATTTTTTTTAAACTTATTTATTCAAATTTTAAGCACAAACCTTCAATCACCTTCAAAGTACTCTCCACTTACACTAATACACTTGTCTAGTCTTTTATTCCATTTTTCAAAACATTGTCTAAATTCATCTTTTGAGATGCTTGACAGAGCCTCCGTCGTTTTTTCCTTTCATGTCTCTTTTCATTCGAGGAAACAAAAAAAAAGTCACACGGGGCAAGGTCGGGTGAATATGGAGGGTGAGGAACGGGTTATACCATTTTTGGTCAAAAATTGTCGTACAGACAGGGCTGTGTGAGCAGGGGCATTGTCATGATGGAAAAACCAGTCATCCGACTGCCACATCTCTGGCCGCTGAGCGCCAAGTCACTCCTGACAGCCCCACAATTTCTTCAATGGTCCGTCATCGATCTTCCTTGATGATTTCACGAATTTTTTCAACATATTCATGTGTTCGAGCCGTGGAAGGACGACCAGAATGAGGTTTGTCATCAATTGACATTTCACCATTTTTGAAATGGGAAAAACCACCCAAACACTTGAGTTTTCCCCATAGCATCGTCCTTGTATGCCGTTTTTAACATTTCAAGAGTTTCTGTTCCACTTTTCCCGAGCAAAAAGCAGAATTTCACCGCCGCGCGCTGTTCATGAAAATCAGCCATTGCAAAAACAACGATCACACAAAACAGTTGTCACTATAAATTCTGCTGAAACTAGTCCTTACCTTCTGAAGTAACGGTAGTCGGCTTATCGACTCAGGAATGTTAGCTTTATGCGCTCATAGTGGCAAAACGCGGTACTACAAAAGCTCTGCCCACAAAAAAATTAGTTCGGTTTCTTTTGGGTACCCCATTGTACGTACATACGTACATTTCATTTCACAAGTCCAAACAAATGGACATGAAGGTCATCATACAAAAATTTAAACAATCACACAGATAACAAAATAATTAAAACTGATTGTTTGTGTTATGCTCCACATATTCAGAAACTGTATAAAAGGAATTATTCATAGGATATAAAAACAGCTTATTTTTAAAACTAATTCTATCCTCTTTAAGGCTTTGAATGTTTATGGGCAATCTGTTGAATAGTTTAATAGCAGTAAACATAGTACCTTTCTGAAAAGCAGAAAGATTCGAGTTTGGCAAATATAATTGCTTACGATTTCTTGTATTCAAACCATGAACATTTAACCATATAGTTAGTATAAGAGATGCAGAAAGTTATATTGTAGTTACTTTTAAATTATGTCTGTTAATCAAGATATTATCTTTTTACCTCATATTATTGTATATGTTAATTAATTAATGTAGGTGATCTTCAGTATGTAACTTATGTTACTTTGTGTATGTATCTGATATGACTATTTCCACATCCTGGGTCTGTTGCCTGTATGGATATTTATGGAAAATAAAGGATATGTATGTATGTTTGTATTTATTAAACTTGCATATTTTTAAACATGTAAGCTTATTTATTAGCACCTGCCTTTCCGAAGATAGTGTGGGTCACTTAAATGTAATGAATAATACAGGTAATGTAGCATATCTGAATCATCACTGTTTAAAGCAATCTGCTTCGAATTATGCCATAGCAGACAGTGTATATACACAAAATTTCTTGGACCATGTCATGAGTTGTGAAAACATGTGTGATATTAACATTTTCTTGCAATTACATTCTGATGATGAATGTACCAAATTTCAGTTTTCTGCTTAATACTGAATGTGCAGCTATAAAATTTGAAGACCTTTTGAAATAGGCAGGTAGTAATTGGGTTCAGTCTGCATGTATTGAATGACATATACCTCAACCTGCTTAGCTTGTATGTTGTTTAGAATTTGTGTCAGTTGTCATTGACTGAGTTGTGTATACAAATGTGTTTAAAGAAGAGAGCCTCATAGAAAAGGTAAAGAAAGAGTGGTCGTGGTTCAGTGATCATTGTTGATATGAAGGCTTACCTATTTTTGAGTCTGTCATCGTGTGCACATGTTTTGCCATTCAAACCTCTGGGTATCATCAAGAAAATCTCATCCAAGGGTGCCTCTCAAGCTTCATGATTCACAAAAATCTTTTCATAACACACTTTTCGAAGATGTTTGGCATATTTTTCAAAATGTTTTCAATACAGGGTGATTCAGAAAGATGGACACAATTTCAATTGGCTATATTTCCTGAACTATATGTTGCATTAGAATTCTGTAAAGTACATTTGAAAGAGGATCTTGTAAAGTTTCTAATACTACTGCTAGAGCACTCCAGCACCGCGTCAGTTGTAAGCGAGATGGCTACTATGCAACACAAGATTTTTTGCATTTGTGAGTTCAGTAAAAGTGAGTCTGCGACTGTGGTGCAGCGTGCATTTCGTCGTTAGTTTAACATCCAACCTCCAACAAGGAAGAGCATTTATCGTTGGAATAAACAATTTGACGAAACTGGCTCTCTGTGTAAGGGTAAAAGCCCGGGCCGATCGCATGTATCGGAGGAGAACGTGGAGCGCGTTCAAGTGAGCTTTGAGCGTAGCCCAATGAAGTCAACCCGTAGTGCTAGTAGAGAACTTGGACTATCGCAAACAACTGTCTGGCATGTATTGAGGCGCTGGATAGTGTACAAACCATACCACCTACAACTGGTACAGGCTCTTTGTGCAAACGATAAGGTAAAGCATGTAGAATTTTGTGACTGTATGCTCAAAAACATGGAAGATGAATTGTTTCTGCCTCATGTAATTTTTAGTGATGAAGCTATGTTTCACCTAAGTGGGAAAGTCAACAGGTGCAATGTTCACATATGGGGGCTACAAAATCCTTGTGTAACAATCAAACATGTGAGGGACAGCCCAAAAGTTAATGTGTTCTGTGCAGTATCGTTAACAAAGGTTTATGGACCTTTTTTTATGAAAACACAGTTACTGGAGTAACGTATCTTAGAATGCTGCAAAACTGGCTTGTTTATCAAATGAATGAAGATTCAGGAGATTACATTTTCCAGCAAGACAGAGCTCCACCCCATTGGCACCTGAATGTTCTACGTTTCCTGAATGAAACTACCTCAACGATGGATAGGTCGCATGGGGAATG